CCAGGCTCATATTGTGCCAGGTCAAAATAATACTGGTACTATACGCTGTTATGGCCCAAATGTTGATAAGCCTATATGCTGGTTGGCCTGTAAACCGCTAGAACCATAAGCTGTTCAACTATCTGCCACTAAACCCCTACAGTGCTAGCTAATTTTTGTTATTAGTTTATGTCAATCATTTGTTCAGCTTCGCAGACACACTTTACATTCATTAATAACATCAGCTCGGAAGCAGACACTATTTTTACTTCAAATGGTGGTGGTTGATGTGCTGGAAGTTCCAACTCCTAACAGTTTGTTCACAGTCTGTCATAACAAAACAGACACATAAACACACACACACACACAAACAAGAGGAAAGAGAAGCAAAGAAATCCCTTCCCCTGTGAAGAAAGCATGTATAAGCAATTATGTGTAGGAACATAACAAAATTACATATAAACAATATAATTGTAATGCCAGTATATACACTATGCCTAGCTGTTTCACTTATCTTATATAATATTTTGGTATAAGTCATGTTTTTACATCTTGTTTATTACTTACTGGTATTAAGTAATGCTAACATCAACATCATTGTTACTCCTAGCTGATTTACTTATCTGATATAATGTTAACTGTAGTTATATTTCTACATCTAGTTTACTATTTACTGGCATTATCTAGTGTTAACAGTGACATCCTGTCCATGCCTATTGTGCTTTGGGCTTCAATGAATTACTGTTAACATACTATCCTAAGTCTACTCTAATCTTACTTTGCTATGAACAAGAATTAATGTTAACATTTGTGTCATATTTCTATACATGGCTGGCTGTTCACTGATGAGAATTAATGTTCCCATTTGTGTCATAAGTCTATATATGGTTGGCTGTTTACTGATGAGAATTAATGTTCCCATTTGTGTCATAAGTCTATATATGGTTGGCTGTTTACTGATGAGAATTAATGTTCCCATTTGTGTCATAAGTCTATATATGGTTGGCTGTTTACTGATGAGAATTAATGTTCCCATTTGTGTCATAAGTCTATATATGGTTGGCTGTTTACTGATGAGAATTAATGTTCCCATTTGTGTCATAAGTCTATATATGGTTGGCTGTTCACTGATGAGAATTAATGTTCCCATTTGTGTCATAAGTCTATATATGGTTGGCTGTTTACTGATGAGAATTAATGTTCCCATTTGTGTCATAAGTCTATATATGGTTGGCTGTTTACTGATGAGAATTAATGTTCCCATTTGTGTCATAAGTCTATATATGGTTGGCTGTTTACTGATGAGAATTAATGTTCCCATTTGTGTCATAAGTCTATACATGGCTGGCTGTTCACTGATGAGAGTTAATGTTCCCATTTGTGTCATAAGTCTATATATGGTTGGCTGTTTACTGATGAGAGTTAATGTTCCCATTTGTGTCATAAGTCTATATATGGTTGGCTGTTTACTGATGAGAGTTAATGTTCCCATTTGTGTCATAAGTCTATATATGGTTGGCTGTTTACTGATGAGAATTAATGTTCCCATTTGTGTCATAAGTCTATATATGGTTGGCTGTTTACTGATGAGAATTAATGTTCCCATTTGTGTCATAAGTCTATATATGGTTGGCTGTTTACTGATGAGAATTAATGTTCCCATTTGTGTCATAAGTCTATATATGGTTGGCTGTTTACTGATGAGAATTAATGTTCCCATTTGTGTCATAAGTCTATACATGGTTGGCTGTTCACTGATGAGAATTAATGTTCCCATTTGTGTCATAAGTCTATATATGGTTGGCTGTTTACTGATGAGAGTTAATGTTCCCATTTGTGTCATAAGTCTATATATGGTTGGCTGTTTACTGATGAGAGTTAATGTTCCCATTTGTGTCATAAGTCTATATATGGTTGGCTGTTTACTGATGAGAGTTAATGTTCCCATTTGTGTCATAAGTCTATATATGGTTGGCTGTTTACTGATGAGAGTTAATGTTCCCATTTGTGTCATAAGTCTATATGTGGTTGGCTGTTTACTCAGGGGAATTAATGTTAACATATGTCATATGTCTAAAATGTGGTTGGCACATTTTTGATTGGAATTAATTAATGTCAGATCACTTGTTTTACAGTACTATTTATTTATGTAAAATAATCTTAACAATGATGTAATATTTCTACATCTAATTTAATTTTTGTCATGGAATAATTTTCAACACTAATGTCAGATATTTATACCTAGTTTACTATTTACAGACATGAAATATATTTAACATTTTTCTTATTACTGTATCTGATTGATTATTTCATCATCATCATCAGGTACCTTCCCGACTGGCATGGGCGATCATGCCTCTCCATAATCTGCGATCTCCTGCAGTATGTATCAGTTCGTGTGCCGACACACCTCCACGCCATGCAACAAGACTGTCAAGAATCTTCTCTCCTATCTCTCCTTCCACATATCTTTCCAGTGGTCACAACATGTTCTATTTTCCCTCTTCTCATAACATGGCCGAAAAATGATGACTGTCTCCTTCTGATGTCTGTGATAAGTTGTCTTTGGGCTGCCGCCTCTTTCAAAACCTCTTGGTTGCTCTTTTTGGCTGTCCAAGGTATTCTAAGCATTCTTCTGTAAAACCACATCTCCGAGGCCTCCACTGATTATTTACAGACGTAAAATATATTTTTTTTTTCATATTGCTACATTTAATTCACTATTTAATTATTAAAAAAAAGATTTTCTTAGTTATGTCATATTCTACATTTAGTTTAGTATTTGAAAGAAATGCTAGCATCTGTATTAAAATTAGTTGCCTATCGGTGTATTTATATCCTTGTTTGTGTCGTCACTGACACATAAGGCATTCATAAAGGGTCTCCACAGTTGCCCATTTGCTAACTTTCTGCCTTTGGTATTCCATGTTTTTTTTTACATCCTTCATTCCCTCATCTGCTGTTCTTCTCCAAGTTTCCTTAAATCATCCATGTTTCCTTTTTCTATATGCCACACTGTTTTCACGATTCAATTTATCTGAAATGGTAACATTATGGCATATATTTCTAAATCTAGCTTGCTACATGGTTATCTATAAGAATTTACATTTTCAATTTATTGCTGATTTCTTTATTTATTATTTATCAGAGCATTGAAAAGTTTAAAATCAATCTGCAAACAACAAAGAAATGTACGTTCATTACTGCATGTAAATACAATTATTGCTTCAAATTCATTTGCCAGGTGCTATGGTGCAACACAATAATATAGAAAGGACTGTTCTTATTTCTCTTTACAAGACTATGCTACAACACTACTGATTTAGAAATTTCTCCTAAAACAGAAAACATTTTTGTTTTGTTGTTGAAAAAAAAAAAAGAATACTTTTTCACATAAATGATCTGTAAAAAAAACAATTTGGTTCTTTCGTAATATCCTACCCCAGATGACGTCACAGGACAGCCCAAGATTTTACAGGGTTGTAAGACTGGGTTTCATGGCTTTCTGATGCTTTTAACGACCCCAAAACATCTAGAACTGGCCCTAACCCCAACCCACCTACGTCCCACGAAAGGGTGCAGCCTAGGTCCCACGGCTGCATGCAGCCTAGGTCCCACGATTGCATGCAGCCTATCTACCAGCCCCTGAAATATTAAACTGTCCTGTGACCTGTGGATTTCCCCTGTTTGGGGTAGGATATTAAGAAAGCACCTAAAATTCTTATAAAATTGTTTACAACTTAACAATTCCCCACTGATAAAATGTTAAAATCTATGCAGGTTTTTAAAAAAGAAGAAAAAAGCTACACCCACTCGCTACCAACCACCACAAGTTAAAGAAAAAGAACAGATGTTTAATTTCAACCTCAATGCGGCACAGTTTGTTTATAAGGAAACTTCTGTGAAATTCTAATGAAATTATTATATCATTAAAAAAAAAAATTTCAGAGGAAACTTCTAGGAAATTCAAATACAATCATTTGATCTCTAATAAAAACTGTTTATGCGAAACTTGTAAAATTCGATGCATTTTTTCTAGTTTTACAAGGAACACCTGCAAATTGCTCGTTTATTGCAATTATTTGAATTTAAAAAAAAAAAAAATTTAAACACTGTCTAAATGTTAGACTTGAAAATTTCAAAAAAGCAAGAGCATCTGCAGATATAAGAAGGAACATTTCAGGACAAGGAAGCTTGTAATGCCGAAAAGTTGGTACACCTCCCAACAGTATGTCTCTAAGTAGATGCTCTCCTGACCCAGTTACTCACAACCGGGACAAGGCGTCCTGAATACATTCTGTTTGAGAGACGATGGTACCAACCTTTGGTGCAAGACAAGAGTTCCTTATTTCCTGACTCAACAATACCAGATGCCAAGAAACTCACTTTCCAGTCTTTTCATTATACAGAAAAACCTCGCTGTTAACACTATTTCACAGGGACTGACAAATCAAGAGTTTGTTTTACAAAAATGTGTGCTAGTGGGGCTCAAATTAATACATGAAAATGATAGGATGAAAACTGTGTTCAAGTTCTTCTTCTTAATTGGCTTGTGTTAACAAAGTTTTACTTAAAAGTATAAAGCAACCATCTTTAAATTTATAATTTTGGCTCTCAAGTGCATAAAAAAATTGGAGGTATTGTAGCACGGCCATCCTCAAACCAACTGCCATCACAAACACTTTGCTTTGGCGTTTCAATAAGGATTAAAAAAAAAAAAAATAAGATTATGTTGTCTTTGTTGATTTAAAAAAAAAAATTTAAGTGAGATTAAAAAAAAAAGATAAAATGAGATTCTGCTTTAATCTGGTGATTTAAATGGGAAATTATAGAATAAAGAGAAGATTATGCCTTTCTTTAATGATTCATAAACAAATTTACAGAAAAGGAGAAAATGGAAAGATTTAACAATAATCGAAACCGACTTGGCAGCATAGCATCATTAAAATCTTATATGTTTTTGTTTGTGGAAAATATTAATTAGTAAAGAGGTTAGTATTGCTTGTCTTAGCCACACATACCAATCCGGTTATTATATACAAAGCAGTGTCTGCGAACCGCACTGCACGCCGACAGAGCACGCCTTTGAGGCCGCACCGAGTCCATTTCAGACCCACTTGGAGAGAGCCGCAGTAGGGCACTATGTGACGATGAGCGTCTGGGTCGCCCATAGGGCTGGCAGATGTCACGAGGGGTGGCACTACCAAAACCTAATATGTGACCCCTCCCACCTTTGCGGCCTCCGGCCTTCCATGCTTCAAAACGGGCCACCCGTTCCTCAGATTTCTGCAGAATGGACTCACGACGGGCCTGTAGAGACATTCAGAATCACAGCTGTCAAATGATTATCATAATTACAAATTGTATGCTTGAAAAATACAAAAAATATGTATTAAAAATATGTTTTATTGACATTCTTTTCATCACCTCTTTAGTTTTGTTTGCTTTTTGCGTTCACCGGATATAAATCCCAGCAGAAAGACTGGGTTGTTCGTCCATTTCTGGACTTTGGCTTTCCTCCAGGACCTGAGTTTTGTGTGTGCATCCGTTTTACAGATTTTTCCTATTTATATGCAGACTGTTGGTTCATTGCCTTAAGGCAGATGCATTCTGACTTTGAAGGAGGCGCCCAATCAGTCGACTCTTACAACATGCTTGTTTTTTCTACTTGAACTCTTATGGGCCCAAGGAATTATTTCTCCAACCACTTCTATCCCAAACAGTTGAGCCTAAAAACAACAAATACTAAGATCTGAAAGAGTTCAACAGCAGCACTTTGGGACATAAGTAGTCAAACTAATATTTCAGATACAAGGTGTAAATATAACAAATGCCAGAAGACAGAAGATAGCAGGAATATTGTAGTATGTTGGAAATAACCAAGACACAAATGTTGAGTTGACTGGCATTAAAGGAGTTAAAAAACGGGGACACAAACAATAAATACTTTTTCAAAACTCAAACAGCAACAATAGCAGTTAGGGAATGAAGCAGATCTTCATGGCTAAGTGGCCAAGCCAGTTATTCAATTGGGGGGGGGGGGGTGTGCGCGCGGCGTGGAGGGCGAGCAGAGGTTCTGGAAGATTTTCAACACTGAGGGGAAACATAAGCAGACTTTTTATCAGGTTGTCACTGGTACTATTAGCATGTTGATTATTTATTGGCTAAGGATGAAGGAGATGCAGCAAATGTGGGAATGGATGAAAAACTTAGCCTTGTGCTACGAAGGTGGTGGGTTTGTTTCACAGGCTGCATCACAGAGTTTATTTACAAATGTAATTTTTACAAAGAACCATAGGGATCAATGCTACCACTACAGAGTTTGCACTTTGTGTGACATTTTTCAACAGGAAACTCTGTCTCTCTGAGAGTGAGAGAGAGAAAGAGAGAGACACAGAGAGAGAGAGAGAGAGAGAGAGAGAGAGAGAGAGAGAGAGAGAGAGAGAGAGAGAGAGAGAGAGAAAGAGAGACAGACAGACAGACAGACGGACAGACAGAGGAGGTGGATGAGAGAGACTGAGCCATATGGGATAAAACCTGATGCAATGAGAGGTCGCTCCTCTCAGCTTTAAATCTTTAGCATGAGGAGATAAAAGAAAGCCATATGTGATTCTCTGCAAACAAAAAAGCCAGATCTGTAAAGTGGACAGATGTTCATGCAAAACTTAGGTTCTGGAACAAGATTAGAGTCCAGAAGTGGACGAACAACCAGAACTTTCTATCTTGGTTTATAACCAGTGAACACTTAAAAGGAGAAGAATGATTCTCTGTACTTACTTTTTCAAATTCCTCCTTGACTCTTCTACGTTCCTCCACAGCTGCTCTCCTTTCTATATCTCTCCTACGCAAGTCTTCAATTTTCTTCCTTCTCATCTCTAGCTGTTTTTCTCTGTTCTCCTGGGCTGTTCGTTGCTGCTCTTTCAGTTCTACAAGTTTCCTTCGTCGCTCCTCTTTTAGTCGCTCACGTGCTTGTCGAACCCTTTCTTCTTTCTCCCGCTCTTTAGCAATTTTGATGGGATCTGCAAGCATGCCAGCTGGAAAGACACATTTAAAAAAAAACACACACACATGTGAATAGTTGTTGGTTTGTACAAATTCTAATCACAAATCAATCAATCAAAATAAATTATACCGTCTACATATTTTGTCTACGTACTTTCTCGCCCCTCTTGTTCTCTATTATGTTACAAAGAAAGAAGAAAGATATCAGAGGCCATGGAGAAGTCTCTCTAGAATGCTCTGAAATCTGTAGACTAATATTTCCTATTTAGGGGTGGCAATACCCCAGGGAGTCCTTGGAACAAATTTAAGGGGTCTGTGACATTTACAAAAACCCTGAAATCCAGAATGCAGTTTTTTTCTTTTTGGTGATTCTAATATTTATAAATAATAATAAGCTCTTTTCAGTATGACAATTTCAACTGTTCTAGCCTACTGTCACATGGATTTACTGCATAAAATGTTCTTCATTTCATAAAATTAAAAAATTCAGTTTTAGCCTGTCCTATTCTGTTCTCTAATTCAGTATGTATGTGCCTTACACAGGGTCGTGCCGCAGATTTTCTCAGTATGATGCAAGTTGTTGAAATGCCACCCTTTACAGTTTTTTTTTGGGTCTTCAAAATATCCTGCAGGTTTTGTCCCCTCCCCCCTTTTCTGATGCTGCCTGATGAGACCACATCTTTGTATCACAGCATGGCACAGTCGGGGCCTTTTCAATTGCTAAAAAAAAAATACATTTGGATACAAATGAACACACAAGCTGTGAGGTACATAACGCTGGCTATTCAAGTTTTAAACTTCTACTCTTAAAAAATACTCCAGGCATGTTTACTGAGTCATAATCATCTAGAAGAAATCAGACCCACTTCTTAATTTTGAGAATATATGTATATAAATTTACACATAACATTAATTTTAAAAATGTACATGTAACAATAAACAAAAGCGATTCAAAAATAATACAGCAAATGTTAAAAAAAAAAAAATCAAATCAGAGACGGGAGAAATGCATGCAGTAGTAAGCTCTCATATGCTAATGTTCATTTGCACAAGTGTAAATCCAATTTTCTATAAACATTCACCAAGATACATAACTTGATTTTCAGTCTGAAGCTGTTTTTTAACGGCAGTATGTACTATTTAGGGCAGTTAAGGCTGCGGGCAGGGGCGATCCTGAGCTTGAGGATTTAAGGCTGCACGGAGTGTAAGTTTAGGATTTCATTTTTTCCCTCCAACAGGAAAAATCCATCAAAGAGGATCTTAACCTTAATTTTTCACATTTCTAAACTATTCTGCCAGCCACTCTTACAGTAATATGCAGTAATACAACACTATAATATAAAGCATGACGGTAGACGGCCTGGTGACTACATGCCAGAGTGGAAGAGGAATGACACAGAAAGAATAACATGATGTTAATCGTGATATTAATTTAAACAAAAAGAGTAACAGAACAGTTATTGCATTGATGATCTAGAACAATGTCACCCCCCCCCCCCCTCCAACTGTCCCAGGAAATTTTTACGGATCTGTGATATTATTATTTTGTAAACACCTCAACTTAAGAACATAATCCTTTTTTTGTGATGCCAATATTTATAACATAATAATAAGTTCTATAGTATTACAAATTAGAAGGCAAAAAGCAAGCTATCTGCCATGTTGATAATCAAAGAAAGAGTGAATAACCAGATTACTCTGTAGAAACAGATAGATGGATAAAATAACATAATAGATCTTTGTTAATAATCTAAGAAAATTAGAATAACATTGTATTGACTGTATTCATTTAGGAAAGGATATAATTTTTACTATGATAATAATTCAAGAAAGAAAGAAAGAAAAAGTGAGAAAGAAAGAGAAAGATTTGATTTGATTCAAGAACCGACATCACAGCACTCGGGGCATTCCCATAAGCGCTCCGTCCCCATCTTCAGCAGCCAGCGAAGAGTTCCGATACTAATGGTGCCAGTAGCATTCTGATTAAACGTCCGTCTTGCCTTTCCTCTGAGCCTCGAGCATCTGCCAGAACCTCTCGTCACCCCCAACTGCATCAATCTCCCCAGACTGTGGTGATCCATCTGCTCCTCCGAATTACACACGCTCTCTCACAAGGCACTAACCATGTCTGCCTTATCATGTATCAGTATTCCACCAAGTTGTGTAGAGCCAGCCAGTCTGCCTGTTCATTTCCCAACACACCTGCGTAACCCAGTGAAAAAATCCAGACAATACTCCTCACTCGTGTCCTCCGCAGCGAAGCATGCCACTCTGCACAAAGCATACCTGGTCTGATCTTCCTCAGCATGCTTTCTGAATCAGTTACAATCACGATGTGTGTGTGTGTCGTGTTCTCTAGCCAGTGGAAAGCTGCAGTGACCGCCTCCACCTCCATTCTTAAGCTGGTTGTTGTGGTATCATATGCTAGACTCTCCTGCACCAAACGTCGACCATTAACTTTAAGAGAAAGAAAAGAAAGAAAGAAAGAAAGAAAGAAAGCTAACAAAAAATAAAATTAACAATGACGATGATCTTTAAAAAAAAAAAAAAGGAACAAACACCACCATGCTTTCTATGAAAGTAATCTAAGAAAGAATAAAAATAACAAGATTTCAAATAAAAAGACTTCTCACGATCATAACCTATAAAAGACAAGCAAAAATGATGGTTGTGGTGATGATAATTTTAGGCAGAAAACTAGAAGCCTGTAAAAAAAAACCAGGTAAAATATGATTCCCTGCACTTTTTCTAAAGGTGAATTCCACCACATTTGGTATTTATTTCCACGCAACAACAAAAATCGGCACTTGAACTTTGCACCAGTGACTGTGCAATGCCTATAGTTGGGTTCACGTAGCAGACAAGTTCAATTACCCACATCCTGGACGACGCTCAGGCTGGAAGATTTGACAGGGATTCATTCTGTCCCAGGAGCTGGAACAACTTTCTGCTATTTCTAGAAGTGTTTGTTTATACAGCAAAAACAAACTTATGCAGTTTCTGCAGGTTGTACAAATCTACCTGCGTCTCTTGCTGGGATTCAGCTGCCTGTACATATCAATGTGGTCATATATTTCTGCACATATCTGTACAGAAGTGTGCACATGTGGTATGTGCGTGTATGTGAGTATGTGCTTTATATGTTATGTCTTATCCTTCGTGGTGTAGGGACTGTATGCTGCCAACCTTCGTGGTGTAGGGACTGTATGCTTGCCTACCAAACCTGCTGGTGATAAGTTTGCATCCTAATTAAAGCAGGTATTTTTTCTTAAACTGACCTAGGCTCCAAGGGTACAAGAAAATGTCATGGGAAGTAAAAACAGTCTGGATTTTACTGATCACATCAGCCCATTTAGAAATGATTGGTCTAAAAAACATGGGACTAGCATCAGTGGGCTCATCCGTGGATTTCTCCCCTCCAGGATGCTACTTGATGGTTTACCACCCTGTGATTTCAATTTATCTGAACAGCAGTACAACAGGGTGGATCCCATATAGCCTGTTCAGCAGTACAACAGGGTGGATCCCATATAGACTGTTTAGCAGTACAGCAGGGTGGATTCCATATAGCCTGTACGGCAGTACAACAGGGTGGATCCCATATAGCCTGTTCAGCAGTACAACAGGGCGGATCCCATTTAGACTGTTTAGCAGTACAGCAGGGTTGATTCCATATAGCCTGTGCGGCAGTACAACAGGGTGGATCCCATATAGCCTGTTCAGCAGTACAACAGGGTGGATCCCATATACTGTTCAGCAGTACAGCAGGGTGGATTCCATATAGCCTGTACGGCAGTACAACAGGGTGGATCCCATATAGCCTGTTCAGCAGTACAACAGGGCGGATCCCATATAGACTGGTTAGCAGTACAGCAGGGTGGATTCCATATAGCCTGTACGGCAGTACAACAAGGTGGATCCCATATAGACTGTCCAGCAGTACAACAGGGTGGATCCTATATACTGTTCAGCAGTACAACAGGGTGGATCCCATATAGAATGTTCAGCAGTACAACAGGGTGGATCCCATATAGCCTGTTCAGCAGTACAACAGGGGGGTCCCATATAGACTGTTCAGCAGTACAACAGGGTGGATCCCATATAGCCTGTACAGCAGTACAACAGGGTGGATCCCATATAGCCTGTTCAGCAGTACAACAGGGTGGATCCCATACAGCCTGTACGGCAGTACAACAGGGTGGATCCCATATACCCTGTACGGCAGTACAACAGGGTAGATCCTATATAGCCTGTACGGCAGTACAACAGGGTGGATCCCATATAGCCTGTACAGCAGTACAACAGGGTGGATCCCATTTAGCCTGTACGGCAGTACAACAGGGTGGATCCCATATAGCCTGTTCAGCCAAAGAAGTCTTAATTAGGGCATCCGTAACCGCTCTACCTCCTAGGAGTAACCTGCAGGCCTTTGTGGATAAGGACCTATGAAGTTCTATTTTGAGCTTATCTCATTATGCCTGGCAATAAATTGTACAATCTGTTGTTGGTGCACTTGTATTCAAACCAACCTTACACACAATAAACCCAGAGGCAAGGAAAAAGTTCCCATTACTATTATGACTATTTAACAACAACTATCTCCCTGAATGGATTACCAGGCTCCTTTGGGGGGGGGGGGGGGGGGGGAGAATAGATCCACTGCCCACCTAATAATCATGTCTTAAAAGTCAACTAATTAGGGATGTTTCCCTCAAAGTTTAAGTGCATCTGTCTGAAAGGCAGGGAACCAACATTCTGTACACAAACTAAACCAGATCTGTAAAAAGTCCAGAAGTAGACAAACAAGAAGTAAAAATGATAACTAGAGCTTACTACGCAAATAAGTAAATATAAAAATACACCCAAAGCTACAGCAAGACAACAGTACAGGTAACAAATGCATAGAAACATTTGCTGCCAGTTGGTCTAAAAAGATCACACATTTAAACATTAAATACACAATGGTTTGCCTACTCAGAAAGAATACCTCACAACACCATACCATACAAGGCATATACCAAAAGAGGAGAAG